GAGAGCTTGATGGGGCAGGATGCTGAGGTGCATCGGGGTAGTGCTGGCTGGGACCCCCCAACTGGGCATTTCAGTACCTGGAGGTGTTTAAAAGACATGTAGATGTGGTGCTTAGGGACATGGTTTAGTGGTGGACTTAGCAGAGTTAGGTTTTTGTCTGGACTCAATGATCTTAAAGGTCTTTTCCAACCAAAGTGCTTCTGTGATTCTTTGGTTCTATGGCTGCCTGCACAGGCAGCTGCCTGGTGCCCGCTTGGGATTGGTGACCATGGCTGCATGGCCCCGAGGAGCCTGGAGTGGGAATCACCACCACATCTGAGCTAATGCACCCTCCCTCTGCCCCAGGTGCTGGTGTTGAGCGTAATATCACACATTTGGTTTTTTTTCTTTTTCCCTCCAGACCAATGATGCCTTAGGAGCCACCTGGAACTGGCTGTACTTCATCCCCCTCATCATCATTGGATCCTTCTTTGTCCTCAACCTTGTCCTGGGAGTGCTGTCGGGGTAAGCGAGATGCTGTCCTTCCCCTCCAACCCATGCCCGTTGTGTGTCTCCGATTGGCCCCCAGTACTGTTGTGCCCCCTAGGACCCCAGTAACTGGTTCCCCCCATCCCCTCCATGCCTGCCTGCCCCACAGCGATGGACCATTCCCCCCCAGCTCTGCTTAGCTCCTTTGCTCCCTGGGGAGCTGGGAAAGGGGCAACGTTGAAGATGCTTTATTGTTGTTTCGCTCTGCTGAAGAGCTTGTGGGTTTGGTCACCTGCAAGAAACGGTTGGTGTTGATCTTCTGGCTGCTTGGGACCTGCTGGAGGGGAGAGACATCGAGGGGCCTTACGGGCTTGGGACTGGGATGTGTTTGTGGTTGGTATTTGTGGTTGGGGTGCATGTTTGCTGGCTGAAGGAGCGTGGTGGGCATCATGGGGTGGGATGGATTTAGGGCACGCATGGGAGCAATGCTGTGGCTGGAAGGATGTACCTGACACCGGTGGAGGATGCACGCTGGTGAGGGTAGGGGTGCACGTGGACAAGCTGGGGACAGAGACAACACAACTGTCCCTGTTCTGCTCTTCCCAGGGGGAAGGAGGTTTTAATCCAAGCCATTAAGCTGGGTTTGGAGAGCAAAAAGCCTTCTTGTCTCCATGACAATGAACCACAGTTGCATTAGCACATCCTCAGCCGCTGGCATGGGAGAGCATGCCCTCTCCTGCACTGGAGGGGGACATGGGCTCCTCTGCCTTTGCTGTGGGTGGCAGTGGGGACCCCATGCCCGGCAGCAGGTCACTTTTTTTCCTAATTGCCCATCATGGTAAAAAAAAAAGCCACTGTAGCACTGGTTTGGCCAACTGGAAAGCCCTTAGATGCAGGGATCAATGTGGAGACTGGCCCTGGTCATCTCTGTCACTGTCCTAAGTGTCCCCGTGAGTTTGGGTGTGATGGTGGTGGTTTCAGGAGTGCTTCTGGAGCAGCAGGCTGGGCTTTGGGGTCTGTTGGTGGGTTGAATTTCCCTGCAAGGCTGCAGGAAGGGCTTCACACTGCCTTGCCGGGAGGGACCTGTTACGGAGGATAAAGAAGTCCAAGCAGTGTTGGGTGGCTTTTGCATTTCTTATGTCACATCCAGCTTGGGGATTTGAGCAAAGTCCAACTGGGTGTCAGTATCAAGCAGAAGCTTTCAGTTCAGTTTTGGGCCCCTCACTACAAGAAGTACATTAGTATGTACAAAGAAGGGCAATGTAGCTGGTGAAGGGCCTGGAGCACAAGTGTGTTGAGGAGTAGCTGAGGTAACTGGGTTTGTTTAGTCTGGAGAAGAGGAGGCTGAGGGGAGACCTTCTGGCTCTCTACAACCACCTGAAAGGAGAGCTAGTGAGGTGGTGTTGGTCTCTTCTCCCAAATAACAAGTGATAGGACAAGAGGGAATGGCCTTAAGTTACACCAGGGGAGGTTTAGGTTGGATATTAGAAAAATATTCTTCACTGAAATGAAAGGGTTGTCAGGTATTGGAACAGGCTGGCCAGGGAAGTGGGGGAGTCACCATCCCTGGAGGGATTTAAAGGACGTGTAGATGTGGCGCTTAGGGACGTGGTTTAATAGTTTAGTGGTGAATTTGGCAATGCTGGGTTTATGGTTGAACTAGGTGATCATAATGGTCTTTTCCAACCAAACTATTCTATGATTTTATGATTCTTTCCTACAAAAGCCCAGAGAAGGGAAGTTAGGAAGCTCGGTGCTAGGCAGCTGGAAAAGCCCTTAATTGCAGCGTTGAATTGTGCCAACATAGTGTCTTGTGTGGACGTGGAGGCTTTTGCTGTTGATGTGATGCTGACAGCAACCTGGGGACAGCAAGGCAGCACTGCTCTGGTCTGCAAGCTAGTCACCAGCAGGAGGGACTACAGGGTGGCTGGTGGGATGTCCAGCCAGTGTCCTGGTCCATACTGGGTGCGAGGCAGCTGTTCCTGTGCCCGCTGAATTGGATACAGTTGTCTAGGTCTCTTCCCAGGCGCCGGCTGGCATTTCGACTGTTTGTTTATTGCTAATAGGGTTTGTATTGGGGAAGGATGCAAGTGGGTGGGTGGCCTAATTGGCAATGGAGATGCTCTCGTGGCGTGCCAGATACCTAGGGAAAAGCACGACTGCTCAGCTCCCCAGAGGGCTCAGCGAGGTGAGCGGAGGCGGTGAGCTGGGCTCTGCTGCCCGATGGCAGGGCCACTGCACATGGCCTCCTGCCTGACTGTGGCCACAGACATCCTCTGTGACTTGGTGGCTGCAGTACCTCACCGGTGATGAAGCATCCTCTTGCCAAAGCTGCTGCTGGGGTTGTGGAGGGGTGCAGGAGAAAGTACTTCTGCACAAAAACAGTGTGTGTCCTTGAGCACAATAAGGAGGTCTTCGTTCCTCGCTTTGCTTCTTGTTTTTTAACACTTTTCTTAATCCTTTTGTGCTGGAAGACAGCACTTGGCTTTGATGTGGGAGGGAAAGGGGGACCTTTCCATGCCCCAGGCTCTGAGCTGGATGGGCAGGCAGGGTCTGGCTGGATTCCCTGCACACCCCACAGCTGGTCTGAGCTGGGAGGAGAAGGTCACTGTAGGGATGAGCTCCATGGAAACACCTCCATGTGAAGGAAACCTTTCCAGGAAACCTTTCCTTGGTGTTACACCACTGATGTGGGGAAGGCAGGCAGCCATGCCAAGATACCTGAAATCGTGGTCACTCTGTTAACTCGGGGTGCAGCAGTGAGTCTTGGTAGCCCACTTGCAGGAACCTGGACCCACATTGCTCCCAAACTGCACCATCTGCATAACGAGGTCCATTCAGGATTTCCAGCCTTCTTCTCAAAGTTCACACTCACGAGCTGCTGCAGAGCTGCCTCTCTGACCTCGCTTCATCTCAGCAGCAGTTTTCTTTGGGGAAACAATCAAACGCTCAAGGCAGGTCCTGAATGCGAAGAGGCTGCAGAAGGACTTTTGTATGTTTAACTTGCCACCATCAGAAGTTTGCTGGAGCCCAGATTTAGCAATCTTTTGGTTGCGATGCGCATCTCTCCCAACAGTCAGTTCCCCAACTGTTAAGCTGAGGCATGACCTCCGTGATGTAAACAGCCTGGATCCATCTGCTCCTAAGCACAAAGTATGTGGGAGAGGAGAAGAAATTATTTCCATCATACCCAGACTCCTCGATTTTTCTCTCTAAATACTAACAGGCACACATGCACTGGAGTTGCATGCAACGCTATTAAGAGGAGATGGAGTAGCTCCAGACAGGGGCTTGGAGAGCCAGTTCTTCTGGGGCTTTGGCACTTATTGCCATGTCTATTAACTTTCCCCGTCTATGGGTGCAATTATGGATCAATTAATTTTAACTGAAAGCAGGAAAGAAAAAAAAACAAACAACAAAACTGTCCATGTTCCTCTTTGAGAGCAGGTATGAAGCCCAAGGAGCTGTGACTGCTCAGCTTTTAAAGCTACACCAGCTACCAAAATAATCCTGGCAGAAGAGAGTCAGTGGGAGCGAGTGAGGATGGAGCATCAGCTGAAACACCCTCTTTTCTGCCATGTGGCAGCTGCTGGATTTGGGAGCTTGGGAAGATGCTGAGATGCATATTGGGTGCTGCCTGCTGCTGTCCTCTCACCTGAGGTTGGTGTCCTGCAGCACTCTGCTGCGGTGGGGCAGGCAGGGTGCACCTGCAGCTCTGCACCTCTCCCCAGGGAGAACCGCTGCTGGGCATCCATCTCTGCTGTGGAGTGGGTAGGAGGGGTGGACAGGACCTCCTCTTGCCCCACAGCTGGTGGCCCATGGTGAGCAATGCCCTGTGGTTCACAGAATCACAGAATGTTGGGGATTGGAAGGGACCTCGAAAGATAATCCAGTCCAATCCCCCTGCCAGAGCAGGAACCTAAATGAGATCACACAGGAAGGCATCCAGGCAGGTCTTGAATATCTCCAGAGAAGGAGACTCCACAACCTCCCTGGGCAGCCTGTCCCAGGGCTCTGTCACCCTCACTGTAAAGTAGTTTTTTCTCAAGTTTCTTCTCAAGTTTAAGTGGAACCTCCTGTGTTCCAGCTCACACCCATTGCCCCTTGTCCTTGGTTGGTTGACTCTGAACCAGGGGGCTGCAGAAGTTGCATGTGCCCCATGCTGGAGATTTGCAAAGATCTGCTCTCCCCTCTTTATGAAATATATATATATAATTTTATTTTTTCCTCAGCTGCTTCTCATGTAAAACAATTTGAATCGGTGTGTTCGGTCTGTGTCTCCAGAGCAGCAGAAAGCTGGTGAGAGCTGTGCTGTCCCATTCCTGCCATCTGCGGCATGCCTGGTGCTGAAGTGGTGGTAATGCTACCCCAGTAATGACCACAGCTCATCACTGGTCCTGTCCTAGCCACTGCAGAAGCCCTGCCTGCTTTAACCCTCCTGGCAAGAAGATGACTTATCGCTAGCTTGTTGCTGGGTGCAAGAAGATGAAAAAGTGAAGGTAAAAAACAAGCCATGCTTGGAGGTATAACGTTGAGGACTCATGCAGAGTTTCTCAGACCAGACAGGTTGTGTTTTGACTCTT